CCAGATCCCCATGAGAGAGCTCAGGCCACGAGGGTCAACACCGACGACCCTGACTGCGGCTCCGTAGGCTGTGCCCTTCAAGCCCTGTCCTCTTGGCAGCACCAGGGTCTGTCAGGCTCATCACACCTCCGTTTCCCAGATGTGGAAACTGAGGCACAGAAAGGTGAAGAAACCTGTCTGCAGCCTCTCAGCTGAGGATAGGCAAGCGGGCCGGCGCCCGTGCCCTTGCTCCTGCCCCCTGCCCCACGGGGCTGCCCGCTGGGTAGGCTGGTGCCTGGCTACTGCCATAGCGGAGGTCCCCCCCCCCGCCCACTGGCCACTTCATGCCTTTCTGTCACCTGGGAGCTGCTGCCTCCCCCCTCACCCCACTGGAGCCACCTGGAGCGGACCCTTGGGGCCTCCCTGATGTCCAGCCGTGGCTGCCTCCTGGCACGGTGCCCAGCTCGAACCCAGTGCTAGGCCCTCGGCTGGCCTCACTGCCCTCTGGACTGAGACTGGAGTTCCTGTCCATAGTCCCCAGAGCTTCTCGTCTGCAGGGCCCGGGACCCCCTCTCCGAGCCCCTCCTCCGACCGGCCCTGGCCAGGGATGGGAGGATTCCCAGGCTCTGCCCCCTCCTCCTGGCGCCTCGCCCATGTCCTGAGGCCCCTGAGCAGTGCGGGGGGTGAGCCCAGAGCAGAGTTTTCCATGGAAAAATTACAGACTGAAACCGGAGTGCCCGCCTGGCTTCTCTGCGCACACGCCCGGCACCTGAGTGAGCTGCTGCGGGCCAGGAGGGTGCCCAGAGGGCTCTTCCCACTTGAGGGTGAGAGCCCCCTGTGGGCAGCCTGGTGAGAGTGTCCTAGCCCCCCTCAGCCAGGCCGCCCCCCGTCCGGGTGCTCCCTTCCCGAGCGCCAGTTACGTGGTTAGCCTGTATCCTTATCCTTACCTGGATGGCCGAGTGGGTCACTGTCATCGGCAGCACCCTCCCTTCCAGGCCGAAGGAAGACTGGGGGCAAGTCTGGGGGGTGGCAGGGCCGGGCCTGCTGGAGGGGGTGGGGGCTCGGGAGGTGGGGCTGACGGGGTGGCCGACAGGGCCCCATCCTCAAGCGCCAGGCGTGGAGGTGCCCGTGAAGCCGGGGGAGTGAAGGGGGGACGTGGAGCGTCCCCCCAGGGGAGCACGCAAGCTGTTTTGAGAATGGAAAGTGGGCATGACGTCCCCTCTCGGCCGCCTCTGGTGTTTGTGCTACACCCCCAGTACAGCACAAACACCCGAGCCACAGATCTGCCCGGCTGTGTGGCCTTGGGCAGCTCCCCCGGCCTCTCTGAGCTCCAGTCCACACCCCCGAGACTCGGGGCGAGGGGAGCCTGGCCAGAGAAGACTGAGACGTGGCTAAGGCCCCGTGGTCAAGGTCAGCGCTCAGAGCAGGGGTTTTAGTGTCTTGGGGGCAAACCCCACTTCCCAAGGAAGACGGTTTTGAAGTTGTTCTGAATTGTCAGCCATATCCGATCACTCACACTCCCGGTGCAAAATGCAGTGTGACTCTCCCCCACGATGCCGTATTTCACCAGGAGCCCAGGCACTGGCTGGGGGTGGCTGGGGACCCCCACCTCCCTGCGCAGCAGCCCCTCGTACCCTGGGGTGGCCCACAGGGAGTCCAGGTGGGGTGTCAACTGGGCAAGACCTGCCCCTGTCTTCTCCTCCCATCCCACCTGTGGCCAGGGCTTAGGCGTCCCGTGTATAGACGGCATTTTTAAAAATTGTGGTCAAAACACATGTGACGTAACCTTTGCCTCTTTAACCGTTTTTCAGTGTACAAGTCCGTGGCGTTTGGTACATGCATAAGGTTGTGTAACCATCACCTCCATTTAGTTCTAGAACTTTTCTCGTCACCCAGATGGAAAGGCCTCACCTATTAAGCAGGTGCTGCCCACCCCGCCCCCAGCCTCCCCCGAAGCCACGGACATTTCCTTGCCGAGTTTCCTTCGCTGGACATTTCACATAAACGGGAACAGGCAGGACGCGGCCCTTCACCGGGCACTACGCTCTGGAGGCCCGTGCACCTCGTGCCCGCGCTCCCTCTTTAGGACCAGCGCACCCCTGCGCGGACAGGCCACACCGACACGGTGGGGCTGCTGGCTTGTTCCCCCCTCCTGGTCGCTGGGAGTCGTGCCGCTCTCGACATGTGGGCTCACGTTCTTGTTTAAACACCTGTCTTCAGCTCCCTTGGATGGAGACCACGGCGCGGAGGCGTGGGCCCCCGGGCTGCACGGTTGTGCATTCCTGCCAGCGATGCCCAAGGGCTCCGGGGCCCCCGAGAGCGCAGCCGTGCCAGCGGGTGTGAGGTGGCCTCCCCGAGGTCCTGGCTGGCACTTCCCTAGTGTGAGTGATCTTTCCACCCACTCGTGGCTGTTTGCAGGTCTTCTTCGGAGACCTGTCTCTTCAAACCCTTTGCCACTTTTCAAGTTGGATTATCTTTTCGGGACTGAGTTGCAGACGCTCTTGTGGACGTCACCTTCCAGTGCTCGCTCGCTCGTTCGTTGGTTCACTTGTCCACTTCACAAACACTTACAGGCAGCAATCCGGGGCAGCTCCTAAGGCCCCAGATGCAGCTCGGACTGGACACCGCCCTCGAGGTGGGGACACCGGGCACGGGCCAGGGCTGAGGTCGGTGCTGAAGGGACACGTGCCTGCTGTGAGAGTCCTCGATGTCTGGGGCCGATGGGTTTGAACCCAGCAGGGCTCGTGCTTGGCCCCCGAAGGGAAGTAGCATCTGCTGGCCAGAAAAAGGAAGCTAGTGACACCCTGGGCAGAGGGACCAGCACGAGTGTAGAGGAGGGTCCTGGGAGGCCAGGTCCCAGGAGACCTCCGATTCTAGGCAAAGGAACCCAGGGAAACTATGGAGCGTTGTGGTGAGATCTGGGTGCTGGCAGCAGCAGGGCTGGGGGGCCTGCCTGGAGGTGGAGGACCAGGGATGCAACGACTGCTTTCAGCCACCCCAAGTGCCCCTGGAGACCCCAATCATACCCCATCTGTCCGCATTCCTGCCCCCAGCGGGGTTTTTACCCTGGGCCTGGGGCCTTGCAGCCTGACCACGGGAAGAAGTCGGGCAAGGGAGGCACGTGTCCAGCGTGCAGGACCCAGAGCGGGCGCTGACCGGTGGCCTGGAGCCTGGTGCCCGGCAGGGTTCCCATCCGTCTCATTTCCCCGGGTCGGGTCGGTTTTCTGAGCCTCTACAATTACTCTGGGCCGAATTCCCCAGATTCCAGCCCGCTCCCAGCCCCACCCGCCCGAGGCTCTTCCTCCACAACAGCCTCTGAGTTTCTGCCCATTGTGCCCATGGGAGGCCCGGGGGGGTCTCGCCCAGATTAGCAGGTGGGCTGGGCCGCGGTGGGGATTGGGTATCGGCCGGGTGTCCCGGTCTCAGCACGTGCTGCGGGCTCACGCCCCACGGGGACTTTCCCAGCCGGTGGAGGGCGCTTGGCCGCCCTGGAAAAACACTGGCCACTTTCTCTCCTGAAATGGGCAGGCGGGCAGTGGCCACAGGAGGGGCTCCCTGTGCAGCAGGCCAGGGCCGTGGGCTTGGGGAGCCCCTCAGGGTCTCCCCCACTGCCACCCTTCAGCCCTCACTAAGCAGCTGGGTGCCGTTTTGACACCCAGCTGTGGGCTGTCGTTCTGCCAAAACCATCCTCCTGCCTCCAGCCTGCGGCCCCTTCGCCTCTGGGCGCTTAAAACCAACCAGCGCAGTTTTGGTAGAAAGCAGTTTGGGGGTTCATCAAAAGACTTAAACAAGCTACTGTGTGACCCAGCAAGTCCACTCCTGGGTACACACCCAAAGGAAGTGAGAGCAGGGCTCCGGCGGCCGCTGGAGGACGCGGCCCTGAGGCCCATGGGGATGAATGGTCAACAGAATGTGGTCCCTCCAGACGGCGGAATATTACTTGGCCTTGAAAAGGGTCAGAGCACTGACACGACCGGCCACAACGTGGGGGACCCTTGAGGACATACATGATACTCAGTGAGAGCAGCTGGACACGAAAGGCCACATGTCCGTGGGTCTGAGAAGCCTGGGCAGGGCCACAGGAGCAGAGAGCCGCTTCTCACTGGCCAGGCGCTGCGGGGAGGGAGTGGAGAGGGGCTGCTGAGGTGAGCGGCGTCCTTTTGGGGCAGCGACACTCTTGGAGCTCAGTGGAGGTGGTGGCTGTCCACCGCTCGGAATGTACTAAATGGTGCGGGACTCCACCCTCTACAGTGTTTCCGGTTGAGTCGGGTGAACTGCACCTCACCAAACAGACGCTCACGCCGACCGCGGCTCCAGAAAAGGGAGGCTGAGGCTGGCGACACCCTCTGGTCTTGGCTCCTGGGGGAGGCCGGGAGAGTCGCTACAGGGCACCCTCAGGGGCGGGCGCCGAGGACATGATATGGGGCAGCGCCCCGCCAGCTCCACTTCCCATGAGCTCCCGTTTCGTCCTCGGAGGGCACCGGCCACCCAAAAACGAGTGGACAATAGCAGCAGCCGAGCACAGCCTGCCCGGTGCTCCAGTCCGAGCTTGCGTGGTGAGGGGCACCGGCATCTTGCCCCCATTCCACGGATCTGAAGACGGGGGCTCAGCGAGGCACGGTGCCCACCTGAGGTCATGCACGGGCTGCAGCTGCAGCCGGGACCTGGTGAGCTCGGCTCCCAGCCGGCCGCTTGGTCAGCAGCCTGCCCGGCCCAGGCACGCCTCCTGGGGAGCTGGGTCCACCACGACGGGGAAGCCCAGTTCCGGTGCTGTGGTGTGCTGCTCCGGGCAGCTGTGTCCAGCCCCAGGTTGATGGTTGTTGAATCCACCAGGGGGTCTGTGCAGCCAAAGCAGAGGCATGGGCAGCCATGTGGGACTCTCGACGTGTGATTCCGTGTCCCACATTCCCGTGGTCCGTGTGATGTGGAGGTCCAGGGGGCACGGGCACACGTGGAGGGAAGCAGCCCCAGGGGATGGGCCCCGCCAGCCGCTCACCTGCCCTGTCCCCTGCCATCTGCAGAGCGCTGTCATCAGTCGTGGCCCTGGGAGCCAACATCATCTGCAACAAGATCCCCGGTCTGGCCCCGCGGCAGCGCGCCATCTGCCAGAGCCGGCCCGACGCCATCATCGTGATCGGCGAGGGTGCGCAGATGGGCGTCAATGAGTGCCAGTACCAGTTCCGCTTCGGGCGCTGGAACTGCTCCGCCCTCGGCGAGAAGACGGTCTTCGGGCAAGAGCTCCGAGTAGGTAAGGGCGCCTCTGGGCTCTCGGGACCCTGCCCCCCCCCCCGGGCTTCGGGGGCCCAGAGGCCAGGCCGTCTGCCCACCTGCCCGCCCACTGAAGGTCAGGCCGGGCCCCCCACTGACCAATTCTGCACCATGGCACCTCCCTGAGCCCTTCTCCATGCCTGGCCTGGGTTGGGGCTGGGGCCCCAGCGAGTCCCAGACCTGGCCCGGCCCTCCGGGACACTGCCATGTCCGGGCCAAGGGAGGTGTCAGTGGGAGCCAGCCTGTGTGAGTGGACGAGGGTCTTCACTCTGGGCTGCAGGGCCGGGGAACATGGAGCAGGTCTGGGTGTGAGCCTGGCAGGCTGGTGGCGAGCAGTGCGATGCAGCGGTCAGAGGCGTGCCCTGGTGTTGCTGTGTGTGCCCAGGACCCCGTCACCCCCCGCGCCTGTGCTGCTGTAGCTGGACATGGGAAGACAGGAGTCGAGTCTCATGGGGCGGGGGGGGGGGGGCCGAGATGAGGAGGGTGCCCTGCCCCAGCAAGTGTCGTGTCGATGCTGCTGTGACCCTGAGAGCGGAGCGGGTTCCAGGGAGAGGGAGTGGCTCGGGCACACGGGGAGTCCGCCCAGCTGGAGGGCGGCGTGCAGGGTGCACGTGTGGGGTCAGGATGGGGTGGGGGAGGGGCGCGCCTCAAATTCCACGGGCAGTGGCCGCCGCCGCAGCCCTTTGGGCAGGGGTGGCAAGGTCTCTTCTGGCTGTGCCCCGCTGTGCTGTGCATGGTCCCCGGGGCCACACGCGGTGTCTCCAAGTCCTCCCAGCCCTGGGAGTCTCCGCCGTGCCCATTGCTTAGGCACGGAGACTGAGGCCCAGGGAGGGGCTCAGAGGGAAGAGTGGGACTTCCAGAGTCTGACCAGGACCTGAATCCAGCTGTGTGACTTCCGGCCACACGAGCTGCTCAGGGCTTCAGTTTCATTTGTAAAACTCACTCCAAGTGACGGGGCCCTCAGCTGGGGGCCTTTCCTAGTGTCTGCACACAGTAGGTGCCCAATAAACTGCCGTTGAACGAGTAAGGGTGGAAACAGTCACACAACCTGCCCCTCCAGGCTGTCTGAGTGTCAGATGGGGGAGTGACAACTCGGGGTGCGGCACGGAGCATGTGGGGGGTGCCTTGTTATCTCAGACCCCAGCCTGTGGGCACAGGTGGGCCTCTGACTGTGTGGGCACAGCGTGCCTTTCCGGTCCCAGAGAGCCGCAGCTACCGGGACCCAGGCCAGAGCCAGAGCTCTGCAGGGCTTGGAATGCCTGGCATGGGGCTGGGGTGGCACAGGGGAAAGCCCCCAGGGGCCCCTTTGCGGTGAGCAGCCTGTGGGTGGCACCTGGCGCAGCCAGAAAGATGGTCCCACCCCTCCCTGGGGCCCCACCACCCAAGTGCAGCTCTTCCCTCCAGGTACCACCTGGGGAGGCGGGGCTGCCCGGCTGTCCAGCGCAGTTCAGAGGCCCACCTGCCTGCCTGGGCCCTGGCAACCTCGCCCCTGGGACCCCGGGCTCTGAGACAGCGGTGAGCACCGTGTTGCACAGCTGAGGACGCCTGGACTCGGGGCAGGTGTGCCGGTGCCCGTGGCCACAGGGCTTGCGCACGGCTGGGCTGCGTTCAGATCCAGGTCTCCTTTCTGCGACATCTCCCCATGTACCGAGAGACAGGCATGGACATGGCCCCATGGCCGAACAGACGGCTGGGGTCTGGGACTTCATTTGTGATCACAAGACAGGCACTGGGGGTGACGGGGCCCTTTCCAGAATTGGGCCCCAGGCATGGGATTTACAGTTAGTTCCCCGGGAAATACCGGATTCCTGTGGGCCATCTAGAGCCTAGGGTAGTGTGGATCCCCGCCAGTGACCTTCCCCCTGGCAGGCACTGTCAGTGCCCGCCCAGGTCGCCTTCGCTGAAAGTCACGCCACCCCTGGGGGCTGTGAGGATCATGGCAATCAGCTCACCCTGATCCTTCTTGGAAACCAGTCCTCGGCCCCACAGCAGCCTGGGAGGGCCTGCAGCCCCGCCTGCGGGAAGGGCAGCCACAGCCAAGGAAAGACTGAAGTGGGGCATGAGGGGCAAAGGGGGCCATAAGGCCCCCCCCCCTCAAGGCAGGTTTGCACCAGGTGCTTAGCACGCCCCCACTTGGACGCGCATTTTGGAGGTGAACTCTCAGCCAGAGCCGTCCACACCCGTGGTCCCTGTTCCTCAGCTTCTCTTGCTCCCCGTTAGTGGCCAGGCCATTACTGACTTTCATGGGGCTGAGGGACCCCTCTTCCTTGGCTGGGCCCCCACGCACTGGGGCTTCCTCTTTTGTCTCCTGCTGCCCTTTCCCAGCCCACTCCGATCAGCTTCCCCCGGGGCTCAGCCCAGTCCGGTCACTCCCTGCGGACAGCTCAGCAGGCCAACCCACGGGAACCCCCGGCTCAGCAGGCTCAAACGGCCGGTGCCCAGCCTCCCCCACCCCACCCCCTGCCCGGCCTGACCGCTCCATCGGCTCAGGGCCACCTGGTGCTGCTCCCCCATCCATCTTAGCACTCTGCCCCGTGGTCGCTGCAGGGCCTGCCTCTCTAGCCCTCCCCCGGCAGCTGTCCCTGGCTCCTCCTGTCTCCCTCTCAGTCCCAGCCAGGCCATGCTCCCCCCCTTCCTACAAAACCTGCAGTAGCTCCCTATTGCTCAGGACGAAGTTAACTCCTCAGCTTGGAGTCTGAGTAGCCCTGCCTGACGTCACGCCTGCCTTCCTCAGCCAGGAGGGCTCTGGTGAGACTGGGCTGCATTCATCCACGCGGGCAGCAGGCATCCTGCGGGGTGCTCAGTGCTGGCAAGTGGGAGTCAGGGGCAGGCCGTGGGGCTGGGCAGTGTGGCCCGTCCTTGTCAGAGGCATGCGGGTGCCCCAGGCACCGGATGGGAGCTGGGCCATGAGCTGGCAGGCAGCCGGGGCCGCTTGCGGGAGCAGCCACTCAATTAATGATTGGCCCCAAGAGGGGGAATGGCCTGGGTGGGTGGGAGGGTCCCTTCAGGCCTTGCCTGTGACCTTGGGCCATGCCTGAGTCTTGAGAGCATAAGGGAAACCACTTAAAGGGGCACATCAACCCTGTGTACTGTCACAACCCCTTTTCCAGCACTCGATGCTGTTGCTTGCATGCTTCCAGGGGTGGGGAGCTCACTACTCCACTTGAGCTAGAGCATTCTTTTGCTGGGCCTGTGTGGGCTTTGCCCTTGGGCCCTCTGGGTGCTAGCTGCTCCGTCCCTCAGGAAGTTGAGGCCCATGCTGGCCTCCCTCCACCTATCTGGTCTCCCCTCATGCCTGGTGGCTCTGCCCCTCTGGCCAGCGGAGCCTGCCCCAGGCCTATGTCCTCATCTATTGAACGCAGCTTGTGGTGCAGGCCCCTCCTGACCTGTCTCTTCTGCTACCTGGAAATGAACTTGTGTGTTGGGGGGTGAATGTGTCGACAACTCAACTGTCTTCTGTAGTGAAGTGGGGGAGGGCAGGGCCAGGCGTGGAGATGCGTTGGGGGTGAAGTTTGTATCCCAAGGCAGCCTGTTGGAAACTCGGCCCCAGAGACCCCGAGCAGAGCAGGGCACTTCTCACAGGCTTCGTATTCCATCCAGGACTGCTGGCCACGGCTTCCTGGGCAGGGGGACAGGTGAGCTGAGACCCGAGGGAGGGTCGGAGTGACTCAGACTGGCCTGGCGGTGAGCGCAGGGAAGGGGCTCCAGGTGGGGGGAACGGCATGCGCCAAGGCCCAGAGGCCAGAAAGCAGATGGTATTTCTCAGGAACTGCAGGAGCATTTAGGGTGAGTGAGGGGAGGGAGACCTGTGGCCGGAGGAGGGGCAGGGCTGCAGCTCTGTGACCCGCGGTGGGAGGCTGTGCAGGCCCAGGAGGCGGGGAAGGAACGGAGACTCTGCTCTCCAGCCCCGGCCCTGCCCCCCGGAGCCCCCGTGCGGGGTGCCCATATGGAACTCCACCGGGCCGGGCACAGGGGTCGCCCCAATCCTGGCTCCCGGGGCCGCTGTCTCCATCCCGTTTGCTCCGTGGGTGAGATGTGTGTTGGGAGCCAGCCCTGAGCCCACCAGCCGCATGCAGGTAGGGTCTCAGCAAAGGCCACCAGGTCCTGGACAATCCAAGGTAGTGGAGTGACTGCCCTCTGGGGTCTCAGAGGCAGGGGTGGTGGCTCCAGGCCTTGTGCACCTACTGCGCGCAGGGCTCCTGCCCGGAGCCTTGCAGACCAAGTCCAGGGAGGTCCCCAGGAGGGAAAATGGCTCGGGGCCTGCACTGCCCCCTTGGGGGGGCCACAGGCCACCACAGGCAGGGGAACACCTGACGCACGGGACGTGCAAACTGACCTGTGCCAGGAGTGTAGGAGACACGACAGGTCTCGGAGACTGAAAGAGTAGAGCAGGTGAAATATCTCTTCAGCGATCTGTACGTTGCTTACTCGTGGAAACGGTGACACTGGGTAGGTTGGCGTTACTGAACAAACTTCACCTGGTTATTGTCACGTTCTTGGGACTTCTGTTGGGTCGCTGTCCGTGGGGTCAGAGCGGCCCAGAGGCAGCCTGGACAGGGTCGGAGTGGACATTTGAACCCAAACCTGACCGTGTCCTCCCAAGACTTGGTCCTGCAGCTCAGCTGAGGGCTGGGGGTCACTACACGCCGCTTCCTGGGCAGCTCAGGGCTGTGAGGCGGCTCCCTTGGGCAGCCCCTGTTGTTGCTCAGTCTGCATGCATTGAGCGCCTGCTGTGTGCCAGGCCTGGGCAGGGCGCTGGGAGGGGTTGCGAGGGCCACCCAGCCCTGCTCTTGGAGCCTTGCACCCAGGATGCCCTGAGGAGCGGACGTGGCTGGGCTCTCAGGCCCCAGACTTAAAGGAGGCACATTCGAGGGAGGGGCTCTGCTGCCATTCTGTCTGCACACACAGGCAGTGGCTGATTTTGCCAAAAGACAAGTCGAGGGAGCATTCACGAGGGTGGGCTGCCTGAGAGAGCAGGGG